TGCTCCCCGGGTAATTCTAAAGTGGCTCCAAGATGGAGATTAGCACTAGATTAGTGCTTTCAACCTTTGATACATGGTCTCAGGTGGGCCTGACATCCTTCATTTCCAACACATTTCTGGGTAAACTGAGGCTGCTAGTCAAAAACCACACTTTCTAGGGAACTCAGTGAAGTCATCTATTTCAAATGGCCTCAGTTCAAGCCAGGATGGGAGAGATTGCCCCTCTCTTCTCTTTGCCCTGTCCTGACACGGACCTCATGTTATTCAGAGGAAGAAATGGGGTTTTTGTGTACATACTTTGCTTTTAATATGTGAGAGCCATATGTTTGGGCATGAAAGATTATCTGGAAGATATGAAACCCCCAACTCAGAGTGCAGAATGGTGACTGCAAGCTCAGAAAAATCAGAACACAAAAGAGCTAAAGATATCATATTACAGTGATCTGTGCATATCCATTTCTATAGGACACAACTCATAGCAGCTAAATCTTGGAAGGGGTCTATATGTCCATCAGCAGATGAAAGAAAACAGAAAATGTGGTATTTATACACAAAAGGGAGTACTACTCTACCAGAAAAAGGGTAAATGGGTCATTTGTAGGAAAATGGATTTACCTTGAGATCATAATGTTAAGTGAAATAAATCAGACACACAAGCTTAAATATGGCATGATTTCTCCTATATGAGAAACCCAAAATATAAATAAGGAGCAAAATATATGATAGATAATCTGAAGTAGGGAGCAGATTTTTTGCAAAAGGGAAGGGGACTGAGAAGGGAGAGGGCTAAAAGTCAGAATTTACCCAAGCACCAGCTCTCCATGAGGAATGTAGTTATGCTCTGAAAACCTGGACTTACGAATATCCCCCAAGCCCAAATACAAAGCTCTACCTGACAAGAGAGGCTATAAACAGAGCTATGAGCCAAGTACAGAAAGCAAAGACGTCTGTAACACATACAGCATAGGGTTAATTAAAAGCGAAACAGAGACCAGGGTGGGAGGGCTGAAGGGGGGCCGCTTAGAAGCCCAGAGCTGGTGTGGAAAGGATTTAAGCTAAAGACATTTAGGGGCAACAAACACAGAAAGAGACTCAGTGGGTTTCCATTGTCTAAGCAAAGGCAGAGAGTTAGCCTCACTTCCCTTTTGAAGGTCGCTTTTGCTCCCAGAAAACCAAAAGCAAACCTTACATAGCAGTAACCTTGCCCTCGTTTTGCTTGGCAAACCCTTGTGTTCTTCCACAGGGCTTTTCTCCTCTTCCTCCCCCACTTTCCTCTATAAATTAGATATATAAGCCTTCAGTTATAACCATTTTAGTCACTTTGGTAAACACATGTATACAAACAGTTTGCTTTTCTCCTGTTATTATTCTTGTCTTGGTTTTTTTTTTTTTTTTTTTGGTCTTTTTCTTTTTTTATTGGTACCAGGGATGGAATTCATGACTGCCTGCTTGCAAGACAGGTGCTTATGCCGCTGAGCTAAACCCTCAGCCCCTTGGTTTGGTTTTTGAAAACAGGGTCTTGCCATGTAGCCCAGGCTGGCCTTGAACTCCACAAGATCTTTCTGGCTCAGCCTCCCAAATGCTGGGATTACAGGTGAGCATCAGCTCGTCCAGTTTTGTTATTCTTTTCTCAGTTTAATTTGCAACCCTCTGATGTGGTGAATCGTGGTTATTTTGCCATTATTCTTTGAGGTCACATTGCAGCTGTGCAACGATTTGAAGTAGAACATTAATTTCCTACCTTGCACTGGGTGATTCATCCACCTGTCATATCTTAAAGAATTCCATTTCCCCTCTAGCCCAATACAATGTCAAAAGTCCCTTTTAAGTACTTTGTTTGGTGTTTGTCTATTCATTTTTCCCTGGAAGGATTGTTCCTAGCAGTGCCAAGGGCACAAAACCATATGCTAGACCTCAAGTGACACCTGCTACCCTTAGAACTGAGATGTGGAACAATAGAACCATGGTGATATTTCCAAACCCCACCTCACATGAAAATAAAATACAAACTCTCAGCCCTAGTGGCATGCTCCTCTCTTAAACTCGACTGCTGCTCATCCAAATTTGAGAAAGGTTTTCCTTCCTGACTCTGAGCCACTGCAGGCCTATTAAGTAACTTCCTACTTAATAGTTAAAGTTACTTCCTATTAAGTAATTTCCCACCTGTTCCTGTCCACTCCTTGTTCCCTTCACTCCCAGCCTCCTCTCATGTTCCCATTCACCTAAAAGTCACCAAGTCGTGCTGTTTAACTCACTTTTCTGCCTTACAGTTTGTAATGTGTGTAATGAATGTAAAGCATCCTGTAATAGGGTTCATGAGTCAGATTTCCCTGGCGAGAGCCGTGGCGGATGATTGGATGACACTGTAGCAGGGGTCCCTGGATGTGGACTCTGCAGACAGTGAGCAGAAAGTTCTGGAAGCAGCATTCCTCTTGCCTAGCAGAGGCCACCTTTAGGTCTGGGCTGCAGAATTCTGATTCCAACACAGCACAAACTGAAATAGTTTTCCAAATGTATGCATTTCATGAATCAATCAAGAGAAGGATGCTATCATTCATAAAGCATGACTAGCAAAACATGAACTAAAATTGGTCCTTACAATTACATCATCAGGTCTTAATAATGGTTAGTTGGTGAAGTCCTAATTGAATATGATTTTATACTGGTGCAAGGCCTTTTCTTCTTTTTCTTTCTTTCTTTTTTTTGGTCATATTGGGTTTGAACCCAGGGCCTTGCTGTAAGCTACATCCTCAGTTTTTTTAAAATATTTTGATACAGGATCTTATTAAATTATTAAGTTACTCAGGCTGCACTTGAAACTTCTATCCTTCTGCCTCAGTCTCCCAGAGGGCTGGGATCACAAGCGTGTGTCATCACTATAGGCTCAGGATCTTGATAGTTTTGAAGTCAAGTTTTATTGACAGGCATCACACCGAGATCCTTGAGCACACAACTTGCTGAACCCCCGCATTTTAAAGACCCAAAGACCTGTTCTCAGCACACACATTCACACATGCAAGATTTATCTGGGAAATCCTCTCCACTGCCTTTTCTGCTTTCTTTTTTTTCTTCCCTCAGCAGGAGTGCTTGCCTTTGTTCAACCAGCCCATACAAGAGCCCCAGCCCACTGCTGTTCCTGGAAGGGCAAGGGATGCTTTGTGAATGCCCTGGGCCTACTGGGAGCCTGGGTTTGAGGATGAAGGAGATCAGCACATCCGGCAGACTGGCTGCTCTGACAAAGGGGTCATTCTTTCCCATGCAGCTCTGGCAGGGAACCATGGTTGCCGAGGGGGATGCGCTGTAGTGATAGACACTGTGCACAGGGCTGAGATAAGATTACAGCAATCAAATTCATATTGTTAGCTGGGCCTGGTGACATTTGCCTGCAATTCCAGCACTCTGGGAGGCTGAAGCAGGAGAATAGCAAGTTCAAGCCCAGCCTGGGCAACTTACCAACATAGTGAGACCCTGTTTCAAAATGGAGTACAAAAAGACTGGGGACGTAGCTCAGTGTAAAGGCTCTGGTTTCAATGCCCAGTCCTGGGCGGGGGCGGGGGGGGGGCACAGACTGCATGACAAATTGTTATAAATCAGAAATCTGTATACAAGGAAGATTTTGAAGATTTTCCTGGGCATTCAAGCATTGTAGAGAATTGTATGTAATATAATAACAACCAAGAGTATTATTAAGTCTTGCAGCTAAACTTTGTAAAAACTTTCTACATGACCATGACCATGCTGTGTTTAAAATATATCCTTTTACACAGAATTCTACGATTCTGTCTTACTGTCCTCCTTTTAGAAGTGGGGCAGTTAAGGAGGATCATGACGGGCGCTGCCTGAGCTGAACCTGCTGTCCAGGCAGTGGTGGCTAGGAAGGGAGGTCTCCTAGCCATGCTGCTTCCTGCATTGTTCTCTTCCTTTAGGGTCAGACCTAGGAGCCCCAGTGCACACTGGGTTTGGAGGTCACCATGTGATTGAAGGGAGCAGAGGCTTGGAAAGGTTCCCTGAGTGACCACAGTGAGGTCAGTGGGGCAATGCAGTTTAATGACCTCTGCACACCCAGCGTTATGGACATGCTGAATTTTCATGCAGTTAATCTGTTGCTCAGCAGCTGCAGCCTTTCATGTGAACCCTGCTTTTTCCAATTGCCTGTCTCACTGCCCGTAGAAGCAAGGCCACATGCACTGAGTTTGTGTCCCAGTGCACATCTTAAAGGTGTGGAAACCTATAGTACGAACTGAATAAAAAATGGGAGGTGAGCCTCTCTGTATCACTCTGGGGAAAGCTCTCTGTCTAATATAAGAACCGTGCATTCTGTGGCTCCAAGTTGATTTGACTTGATTAAATCATTAATAGTCATGATGCAGGTTTCAGCCTAGGTATCTGATCACTCGCTGAAGTGAAGAGCTAATGATTTGCTGATTCGCATTTGTGTGTATGTGGTGTGTGTGTGTGTGTGTGTGTGTGTGTGTGTGTGTGTGTGTAGTGAACCCAGGGAGCACTGAGCTACATCCCTTTTTAAAATTTTGATTTTGAGACAAGGTCTTACTAAGTTGCCCAGGCTGGCTTCAAACTTGTGGTCCTCCTACCTCAGCCTCCCAAATAGCTGGTTTTCTAGGCATGTCCCTCCACACCTGGCTACAGTTGTGACCTCTGCCTTCTTCACAGTCTGGGCACTGAACAAGAACATCAGCTATCACCTACCAGTGCTTCCTACGTGCTCAGTGTGATCCTAATAACCCTTGGCTCACACATTCTTTCTTTTTAATCCTCCAGTCACGCTGCTGGCAAGTTTCTGCTGTGAACCTGTTTTAAATATTTAAAAAAAATTTGTTTTGAAAGAGGCTGACCTCAGGCTCATTGTACTGGCCTTGAATTTGCCATCCTCCTGCCTCAGCTTCTTGAGTGCTAGAATTATATTATATGCCCACACCTTCGTGTTCTGGTTCAGTTTTACAGAAATAAAGGCATCAGCCCGAGGCGGCCGAAGCTCTTACCTGAATCCAGGTGATCTAGATGCCAGGGGTCCGTGGCGGATGACATGGGGGACAGTGTCAGGGGGGAGGCCCCGCAGTTGGACTCCACCAGCTGGCCCTGGATGTGCACGTGCGCAGAGGCGTTCGTCTGCCTCAGGGCAGCCTTGAGCGGGGCGATGTGGTTGAACTGGACTCTGGAGAGGCAGCCTGTGAATCCTGGAGTGTTGTATTTGTGAATCTCCTGATCAATTTTCCCTGTTTCTAAAAGAAAAGAAGAGAAAAGAAAAGGGAAAGTAAGAGTCAGTCCCACTCACTGTGTTGGGTGGAAGCCAGCCTTATGGGGTGCTTGTTCCCGAATCTCATGCTCTGGGTTCGACTTTAGATACTAGGTTCTCACAAACAGAGTGAACGACTCACTAAGACGCAGGGCTGCAGGATCCACTGGAGAGAACCTGGCATCACTAGAGGACATGCACGTGAGCGTAAGACTATTTGATAAAGCGAAACCCACCCTAGATACCTCACGGTGGATGCTAACAGCACTCTCTTGCTTCTGATTTTTCTCCTTGTCTTTTCTGATCCTCACTGACCCTGTAGGACCTCAGTGGTGAACCTTTGAGAGACTGAGTCCCAGACTGCAACCCGAAGCCCACTTGTTTGTCACAAAGTGCCCACACTGCCATTAAACCGGAATACTGAGGGTTTAGTTTGGTAAAAACAATTCTACATGTACATCGCTTAAAAACAGTCATGCATATTTGCTCTCACTGCAAGATATGGAATACAGCCCCCTCTTCGGTCCTTCTTGGTTTACAACCTTTTCTTATATTTTCCTTCTGAATTCTTCAGGAATAAAAGAGAAAGAAAAGAATTCTCGCATTTTACTGGTTATTTCTCCACTTCAGAATCAAATCCCTGTGTAATTCTGAAGCTTACAGAATCCTTGCTTGTATTTTGAGAGGATTTGGAAGTCAGGAAGCTTTCACAATTCAAGATCTGCATACAAATGCATTTATGACACCCCCACCCCAAATTGTGTGGCCAACAACTCCCCAAACTCGGTCAGTCTGGTAGGGGCATTTAGACTTTTCAAGCATGTAGGGATTACCTGCTGCCCTACCAGTTAGATCAATGCATATTTTTAGACTCCACAGTCCTAGTCTTGGAACCTAACAGAAACTAAAGTTGGAGGGTTCTTAAATGCTAAATACTGCTCCACTGGTGAACCAGACACACCAACTCCAGGCTTAACCAGTACCACTTCAGGCACAGCAACACACTTCATTTGCTAACAGCCTACAAATCCCTGGTAAATCATGGAAGCCACTTTGGGATTCTGCAATTTGCTTCAGAAGAGACCACAATACAAGTAGGTTGTTTTTTTTTTTTTTTTTTTTTTTTTTTGTAACGGGGATTGAACTCATGACCTCATGCCTGCCAGGCAGGCGCTTATGCCACTGAGCTAAATCCCCAGCTACAAGTAGGTTTCGAAAATGACAGGAAAGACAGCTTCAGGCTGACTTTGTAATGAGGTTTTTATAGTTGGAGATCTGTGGGAGTCTGATGGGGCCAAAGCTTAGGGTAGGACTTACAATGCCATGTTAAGCTGTTCCCGTCTCAGTAGAAAACTCAAAGACGTTTAAGCTGCAGTGTCTGTGATGATCTGGTATTAGACAATTCCAGAGGCAGCAGTGACTCTGAGCAATGCTGGCATTGACTCCTGAGGACTGGCACAATCCGTTGGGCTTTGCTCAGGCTGGGGAGGGATACTGGCTCCCAAAGGGGAACTTGCAAGTGGGCTCTGATAGTGGGCTGGGAACCAGAGAAGGAGCAGTTCCTGCCAGCAGGAATTGAGACCTAGGCTGACAGGCTCTAAACACTGGTAAAAATGTCAGTGATGTGGGCAGGAGCAAGCCCAGGACAGCAGGAGAAATCCTTAGGGTTCAACTGTTGTTCCTTCTCTGAAAGATGAGTAGGCCACAAAATAAGGATTTTGGTGCCCACCAGAGGAGCACTAGTATTGTCAAGTCTGGGTGACACGTCTAAAGACTTGTCTGGGACCAGTTCCCCTGGTGTCCAATTGATTCTAGGACTTGATGGGTCCAACTTGGGCTATGGGGTAATAACAGAACCAGAGCTGCTGCTTTACTCCATGGTTGGTCCACATGGGATATCATGTCACATGGCTTGGATGCAGCATCTCAGTATGTCACTAAAAGGCCCATGTGCTAAAGACTTGGGGCCAAGCCTGTGGCTCCACTGGGAGGGAGCTGGAGTTTCAGGAAGGGAAGGAAGTTGGGTCACAGGGGTGTGTCCTTGACACTGGGTTCTCTCTTTTCTCTGTCTCTCTCTCCTTCCTGGCTGCCACAGACCCTTGCTAGGCATTCTGGCCATGTTTATTGTACAACACAGTCAAAGCATGGGACCATGGACTCAAGCCTCGGAAATCATGAGCCAAAATGAACCTTTCTTCTTTTTAGGTTGATTCACCTTAGATATTTGTTACAGTCTTGGAAACTGACTCTCACAAACCTCTTGAGATGGACAGTATTATATCTGTTTCACAGATAAACAAGCAGAGGTTCAAGGCTTTGCTTGCGAATAAACTTTTATGTTTTACATAAAAATTCCAATATTTTGAATAGCTAAGAATCCCAATCTTTGTATTAGTTTTAATTTCTTTCTGAAAAAGACTACATTAGGTTACTTAAATATTCTTGTGAATTTTGGGAACATTTGTAGTCAGGTGTTCTACAAAGATGACATAGTGAGGTTTTTTAGAAGAGGATCTGATAGTTATTAGAACTACTTTAAGACCATGTATAGTCAGAGTCTGAGCCACGACATGATTATCAAAAATGTGGTGACCTGATGTCAAAACTTGGCCAGCACTATTTATAGAAAGCAAATTCTTGTTGGAGCAAGATTCAATGTTTCTTAAGGATGCCTACAGATGATAGGGCAGTATAGCTGTGATATTAGCACATGTATTACAATTAAGTTATGCTAATCTGTACAATGGATTGGATTGGTCTCTCCTGAAACCAGATATTAAAATGCCATATACTATAAGAAACTACAGTATAAGGTGGAAATTAAAAGCAATGGAGACTGCTTGGCCAAGGTGTTACTTGGAGAAAACTTGCTCTATACCATGCAGATTTAGAAATAGAATGCTCGCTTCTGAGGTTAAGTTCCCAAGCAGCAGTTAGTGCTTCATGTCTTAAATTCGCAGGGATATGGATTATGGGAATACCGCTGCAATTCCGGGTGAAACCTTAAAGCAAGATGCTCACAGCAGTGCTTTAGGGAAAGGCAGCAATCACATTTGCAATGCACTAAAGTGATCTTCCTTGTGCTCTAACTTGGTGGCTGCATATCAAGTGACAGGCAGGAGTGCAACAACAAACAAAAGGATACCTAAAGGAGAAACTCCTGCAGAGGAAAGGCAGCACCATAGAGGATGGGGCTGGTGGCCTGTCACCTCTGCACCAGGGTACACAGGGAGATGCCTGGGAGAGCTGGGTGTGGGCTCTTGGGGTGGGTGTGGTTTTTCCATTCTGTTCCCATTTGGCCATAGTTACATAAGTTTAGGAGCCTGAATGGGCCAATGGAACAAATGAATGGAAAAAAAAAACTATAGTCATAATAACAAAAGCTAAGATTCAAAAACTGCAAAATAAAATCTAATAAATTTTACTCCTGGGTTCTTAATGTGACCAAATGATCAGTGGTAAGCAGGGCATGGAAACTCTGGCACCTGGGTTTCCAAGCTATAGCTGCTGCTGAGTGACATCTTCCTGACCAGTTGACTTTCAAAGGACACATGACCAGAATTAAATCCATATACATAATTGATGTATACCAATTTATATGATGCAAATCATTTTATTAATTCCATAGAGAAAGACGCTAATGAAATTTCACTTCTTTATTAGATGGTTTTCTCTCTTATGAGGAAAGGCAGGACTAATATATGCAGGTATAATTTAAATAGTTCCTGACCTATGGCGTCCACTAATTCAATGACAAAGAGAGCAGGAGAGGCAGGCTCTTTGTTCCATTCACGTTGTGCCTTTTACATATTCACGTGTAAATCTTTTTTCTAAGGATCAAGACAACAAAACTGGGTGTTTATTCTCCTCAGACAACAAGGAAAATAAATACCTTTATGAGAAGATGATAGCCTATTCCATCATACTATTTTGCAAAAATGTAAAGCATGATGTTTTTATTTATATCAATTTAGGAGGGTTCCTGGGCTTCCGGGGATATTGAACGGTTGAAATTGTCATTCTTATTTCTAAAATGTAGACTGGGAACAGGAAACTTGTGATCACTAGTTAATCCTATAATATACTTGTAATTACACAAGTTCAGTATGAAAATGCTGAAACAAAGGTGAGGTGCCTTCCTTAGCTGTGTCCAAGGAAGAGCCACTTGGATAGCACAGAGCACACATTTGAAAGCACACATTTGGATTTGTCTCCCTTTTCCTGGATGTCTCAGTTGTCAGACATCAGATAGAAAGCCTGGAAGGTGCTAGTGCCCTGAGCCACTGCCTTCGGTGTCCTGTTACATTACAGGATTTTCCAGGGCTCAGAAAAGCAGGTTTTGCTGAACCTAGCATGACCTTTCAGAAAAATGGACGTCCCTGACAGTAGCCCCCACAGGCTTGGTGCTGTGACTTACTTCACAAGGAATGTAAGGCTGGTCTTAGCCCTTGGAATCTTAGCAAATGTGAGCTACTGCAAAACAGGGTACTAATGTGTGAGTTGGAAATGAACAGATCTAATCCTTATTCCTTGAAGTTCATTGCGTTTGTGTGCTTTAAAAGTATTAGCGCCAGAAATATAATTCTGTGTATAATATTCTCAAACTGAAATGTAGTGTGGAAAGAAGAATTCTGTATGTGCCTTTTTTTTGCTAAAATGTTATCTTCTGTTGTTGTTGTTTTAGGTGTTAAATATAGGTGACGACATAAGGAGAGGGAGTTCAATTTTCAAGTTTTACCCTTAACTCTTTTGCAAGCCTCAAAAGGGAATTCCAGTTAGGACTAGGACGGGGTTATTTGAGGCCAGTTCCTTGAGTAGCAGGGTAACTTGGGGTAACAGGGAAAGGATGACAGGACAGTGCTGATCTCACACATTTCAATGGCAGTTTAAAAAAGTGTACGCTAGTGTTATGATTTGGATTGGAAATGTGCCTCCAAACGCATGCGATAAAGGTAAGTAAGTGGATCATGAGGGCTCTGGTTTTAT